CTGGGGTTCCGATCTGGGGTGGTTATTGCATCAAGGGTGATTGTGTCATTGATACCCTGGATTCTTTTGGGGCGATGATGTCATAGGGTGATGATGTCGTAGGGTGATGATGTCATAGGGTGATGATGTCATAGGGTATGATGGGGATTTCTGGGGTATGAAGGAGGTGGGGAGAGGATGTGAGAAGTGCTCCAGGGGGTTGGGGATAGTGGGGAGTTGGGTGGCCCTTGGTCCCTTTTGGAAGATGCGGAAATATTCCCTGAGCAAACTGGTTGGTTAGGAGGGTTGGTCTTGTATGGGGTCGGCCCCTTATAGGTCCTTTTTGGGATGCTGACATCTTGGTGGGTGACACCAGGATCGAACCGACGACCTTGGTATCGCCCTTTCAGAATGGTGGGCTGTTCGTCGTTGCAGTTGCTGGGTCATTACGGGCCTGTGGATGGCCGGCCCTTCTTCCATGTCCAGGTACCAATCCATATTGGTGCATGACACCGTCCCGCGTCGACACCCCTCTCGTCATGTCCCCGCTCACAGGCAGTGGCTTCGGTCAAGTAAGTCCTGGTGTAGCTCTCGTCCGTCTTCATGAGGCTTCGGTCTCTGTTGACACCCTCGCCCCTTCGTGCTCCGCCACAATTCTGGTCAGCATGAGGCTTCGGTCTCTGCTGATGGCCTCCGACTCGGTCGTTCGGAGCCTGCAGCTCCCCGTTCGACATCTCTGGTCTTGCGGGACACGATGTCCCCTTGACGCCCACATACGCCTTTGCTGGCATGTGAGGACCCCTTGGCATCCGCCTCTCATACCACTCGTCTCTCGTCTTGCCTAGTCCCGTCTAGGTTCACGTCTTATTTTGCCCCGTCTTGCCCCCACATCATCACGTCCGCCCTCGCTTCATGCTCAGCCCTGTTTATGGTAGCTCGTCCATGCACTACAACGTTGCCGCTTTCATTACTTATATTTTGTCAATATTTTCGATCACTTATCCTTGCCCACATAGTCACTAGCTTAGTTCCCTTGTAGCTACGTCTCTCGTCGCCCACTCCTCGAGCCGCAGCTTGAAGGAGGAGATAGTGTAACGGCCACCGTGCACGTGACTTACCCGATTCGGATTTGCCTACGATACGCCTCGCTACGCGCCCGTCTCCCTTCGACGAACCAACGCCAGTACGGCGTCGGCGCTCGCGCGCCCTCCCCTCGCTTGCCCTGTACCCTTGCCTACGCCCTCCAATCTACTCGTTCTCGCAGATCTCGTCCGGCGCGGGGCACCGGCCCATTACACTGTTGGCGACGCTGACCTCATCATGGTTGCTGCAGGTGACTTCCATCCATCCCGGCCCCGCCACCAGGGAGACTTCGCAAATCAAAGCATATCTGTGGTTGCAGCAGCTTCGACCAACCCCGCACCCTCCTCTCCAGGCTGTGCTCAGGCCAATCCTCCCGAGTCTGAATCGGAGCCGGTACCAGCAACTCCCTCTTCCGTATTCTTACTAGATGTTGCCGTTCAAGGTGGAACAAATTACGCGGCCTCCCAGACCGAGGCTGAGGCCCGTATCACCGACCGTGCATGTAGGAAAGGCAAGAAAGCCAATCGCAAACCCGATCCTGCTCCACCGGCATCCACCGTGTCTAGCACATCGAGCACTAAGGCGAAGAAGAACCCGCCGCGACCTCGAGCTGTAAACAAGAAGCGACCCCGAGCTGAGGAGACCGATACCGTGGCCAAAGCTCCGGCGAAAAAGCGTCGCTCGAAATGATTATATTATGATGTTCTTTCTGTAATACAGCCACTACAACTCGATTTATACCATCACGCACCCGTATTGTTAAACGCCTACAGCCTGGGGAACTTGAGGCGACGGACCTACGGGGACATGGGACAACCCGGGACATAGGCGACAGCGACAACATCTCCGGGACACGGGACGTCGCCTAAGGTCGTGACACCACAGTATAGCTTACAATTGCTCACTATCATGATTCCGCAACGTGAAAATTTGGACGAACTTGCCTTGGGTTAAGAGTCGGCATCGAAGAATCTGCTCACACGTGGGCGAGTCCAAGGCAAAGCGTTGGCGGTACTGAAGAGGCTCAAAGCTGTGATGTGCTTCAGCCAAGCATACCACGGGGACCAAGTCGGCACGGCAAACACCGCAGGATATCAGGGCCCCGGAAGACTTTCAGATCGAGAAGCAAACTATAACTGTCATCTAATCCTTTGTCCCCGTACAAAGGGATTTTTGACAGTTGTAATTTGCTTCAAGTTCCTGGGCCTATCTAGAGTCCTGATATCCTGGGATGTTTGCCGTGCGGGGCGAAGGGCGAAGCACCACTGGCCTGAGCGGTAATCTGGCCAAAGTGTACTTGTGGTCAGGCCGCTACGCACAGTCCAAGAGGCCTTTGTGTGTTTGAGTATAAATATCCTAGGCATCCATTCAGTTCCGTCCCCGCAGAGTCCTTAAGCTCTTGAGTTTACCCACACTCCCGCACCTCAACCGACTTGCTCATAACGGTAAGCACCCTCTTGTTCCGAGTCCTGATTTATGAGTGTACTCAACTTCAATACCTAGAAGGAACAGGATGTCATTCGTCGACACGCTTCTGCGCCTCGTGGGTGCCGGCGCCATCATATTGTTCCTCCTCTTGGTGTGCTTCGCGATATGGAGCCCCCCGCCTGCCGATACAGCCGGAAAGCATCAGGGCATCCCCGTCCCAACCCCGAAGGCGGCACAGATCGTCGAGGAGGTTCGGGCTCTAGAAGCCGCACTGGAGCGCAATAAAACGGCATACAGGAGGCTTTGGGAAGACGTGCGCACTCTGCAACAAGACTGGGAGATACGTGATGAACGCCTCAACCGGACTTCCACGGAGCTCGAGCTCATCCGGGACGAACTTGATCGCGCCCTTAAGACTACCAACGACGCGTACGAGGAACGCAGAGCTGCCGTGGACAAATGTTCGGATGCCTGCATAAAGATGAAGGAGGAGGTCCTGGAGCTGCTGAAGACGAGCGACGCGGCGCTTGAGAGCGTGGTGTCGCGCAACACGGAGCTCGAGAAGAGGTGTGAGGAACTCGAGGCATACCACAGCAAGGGAGAGGAGCTGCGCCAGGAGATGGAGAGGGAGAAGAACGAGCTTCTACGGAAGATCGAGCTCGACAGGGATGAGCTTGAGAAGGCCGTACGTGCTCAGGCTCGGGCGGAGTTGAAGGGCGTGCTGGATGCCTTCCTCATCGCAGGATCCGCTGCCGCTCCGTCAGCCCCTGGTACTAGCCAGAAGTCCACGGTTGGAGGTCACTCGGAGGCATCCTCGCAGGCAGCGGCGCCTGCGGCTGCTTGATGGAGCTGTTGGTTTACGGCGCAGCGCATTGTAGTCAGTACTCTGACGACCCACCATTCCCTACCTCATACGTTATTCACGTACAGCTCAGGGTCGCTCCTGCGGCCCCAGCGTACACCCCCTCGTCGTCCTGGCTCGGGTGGCTGGCTACTTATCGCCGCTGTCGGTGGATGTGTTTTAGTACGCGCTGGCACTGTGCAGACCGTAGGATCACTTGTGGGGCACACCTTCTCATCAATTTCATGTTTGAGTCATCGTTGACGAATTAATGAGGGCCGTCGGCGTCGTGCACGTGGGTCCTATATGGGTGAGAGCAAGAGGCAAGAGGCGCGGAACCACTGGACGCGTCGCGTTAGCCTTTAGGCGCCAGCGAGAGCGCGTCGGTCACAGTGTAACGTGTCGCGACTGTGGCTAAGCGGGCCGCCTGAAGTGTGGTCCTCGCGACCTTGCAGCCTTTACACCAGACCACGAACACCCTGCTTGTCTCGTTTCCTCACCTGCCTCTACCATGGCACCAAAACGAAAAGCTGCAGCCACAGCGACAGAGAATGAACCTCCGCAGACTCGGCGGAGGACGCGCGCGACAACCGCTGCTGCTGGAGACCCGGTGGACGCCCCGGTCGTGGAAGTTCCCCCGGTCAAGAAAGCGCGACGGGTTGTGAAGGCGCAAGAGAAACCACCAGCGACCAGTGATGCAGCTGAAGGTCTCACAAACGCGCCGTCGGCCACGAACGTCGCTGCACGGGCGACCAGGACGACCGCTCGGACGCGGAAGACTGTGAGTAAACCGGTGGAGGCACCTGAGGCTGGACCAAGCGTACCAAAGAGGAGGGGTAGGCCCCCCAAGGTATGCCGCATACCTACTAGCTGCAAGGTTCTGTATGTGACGGCTATGGCAGACACAACCCACGAAGGAGGAAGAGACTCCTGCTCACGAAGAACCGGCGCCGTCTCAGCGGCCACCATCCCCAGTACTCGAGAAGGCAGCACCAGTGATACCGAAGAAGCGCGGGAGACCAAAGAAGGTTAGTCGATTCTCCATTAGCTGCTGTAGGGACTGCGGTAACGGAGACGTAGGCCGGTTCAGATACTGCCAGTGTCGATCAGCCAGCCAAGGCTGCGGGAGGGTCGCGTCCGACCAGAGCACGGAGAGGGCAGATTAAGGGTGAAGATGCCGCCGACGGCGACGATGAGGGACCTAGCGGCGAAGTTGCTGTGGATCAAGCTGCTCCGAGAGAGGCCTTTCCGCCTCCGCCAAAGAAGAGAGGAGGCAGAGTCAAGAAGGTGCGTTCCTTCGGCAGACCTGGTTGTCCTGTAGTCTCAAACCCCCTCATCCAAGGTTCCCGTACCTGCGCCGAGACCAATTACGCCTCCCCCACCAGACGAAGAGAGTTCGGATGATGAACTCTTAATGACGCCCTCAAAGCGAACATCTGTACGCCCGACAACGCCCCTGCGCACTGGCGGGAGCCGGATGGGCACTCCTCGCATGGTCTTGGATGCGGTCGAGATTTTGACCCCGAAAAGATTATTGAACACCGTACGACGCGACCTCGGCTCTCCAGGTCCCAGGCTACACGTTCCTCCACTGGGCACTCCTCGATTGCCCCCTGCGTTCCCAAGTCCGCAGAAACACGGCTTGCCTACTGCTCCCCCGTCCCCCTCGCGTCTTCGCGCAGCACGCCCCCCTTCTCCAGAGCCTTCCGAAGCCGAGGAGACGCTACGTGAGGCGACGTCTCCAAAGAAAGCGTCTCGCGGAAAGGTGGTGCAACCCCAGAAGGGCTTACCGAAGACTCTACCACCTCGCTTGTGCCCTCTGCTGGAGCGCCAGAAGCGCGCGATTCTTCAGACACTACAGAAACCTCCCGAGGTGGACGAGATCGACGTATACGGCGAGGACTACCCGCCAACTAACACACTGGCGCACGAGCAGCTCAGTGACTTGTTGATGGGCACGGTAACCCGCGGTGAGGGCAACAGTTGCCTGCTGATCGGTCCTAGCGGAAGTGGGAAGACACAAATGGTTGAGCGAGCCATCGCGGCACTCCCAAACAACCCAATTGTGGTCCGCCTCTCCGGCTACGCGCAGCACAACGACCGTCTAGCTATCCGCGAGATAGCATGGCAACTCGCCCAACAAACCGGGCATTCCTTCCTCCCAGCCAACGACGAAGCCGAAGACGACGACGAGCCTCAAGATGCACCTAACGCCCCCGATCCCCACCCGCAGGACCAAGACACGGACGCAGACGCAGACGAGAACCCCTTCGTCGACTCCGGCCCCACCTCCGCGCCAGGGCCCGCGCTGTCCGTGACGCTCCCCCCGCCCGCACACCTCCTCGCGCTCATCTCGATGATCCCGACCCTCCCGCGGCCGACGGTCATCGTGCTGGACGGGTTCGACCTCTTTGCGGCGCACGCGCGCCAGGCGCTGCTCTACTGCCTGCTCGACACCGCGCAGGCGTGCCGCGCGGGGCTCACGACCGCCGCCGCCGGGGGCCAGAGTGCGAGCGGGATGGCGGTCGTGGGGGTTACGGCGCGGGTGGACACGATTAATCTGCTGGAGAAGCGCGTGAAGAGCCGGTTTTCGGGGAGGATGATCAGGACGGCGGGGCCGGCGAGGGTTGCGCATTGGGTTGCGCTTACCAAGGCGGTCCTTGGTGCCCCGGTTATGACTGGGGGTCATGATGAAGATGAGGGGGCGAAGGAGGAATGGGAGGGGGTGTGGGGCACCGCTGTGGAGAGGTTCTTGGCTGAAGATGCGACCTTGGACGCGCTGCGGGAGACGTATGCGCTCGCCAGGGATTACCAGATACTCCGGAGGATATTGGTGAGTCTTGCGGCTACAAGAATACGAATGGTGGAGACTAAATAATGCCCCCATAGACATGTTTGGTGTTGGAGATGACGCCGTCGTCGCCAATTCCCACCGCTGCGAAGCTTGAGAAAGCAATCAGTCGCCAGCGGTGTCCGCCACGTTTCCCCTCACTTCATAGTATGTCACTTCTGCGTCGACCCATACTCTTGAGCTCACTGCATTATTCCGCTAGCCCTCCCTTACCCAGCAGTATGCCTCCTCATCTCATCGGTCCACGCGCAAACGTCGGGCCACGACGCGTTCACGTTCGAGATGCTGCACGAAACATTCAAGAACCAGGTGCGCACATCGCAGTCGGCCCCCGTGCAAATTGAGGGTGGAGGCATCGGTATGGTGCGGTGTAGCCGCGAAGTGCTGTTTGTGGTATGTGCCTTCCCGCCTCTACACTTGTTATGTCTGGGGGACTGATCGTGATTGGGCGATGTAGGCGTTCGAGCGACTGGCGGATCTGCGCATCTTCCAGCCTGCAGCTGCGCCTGGGATGACCACGGGGCGCGAGTTCGCGCTGTATCGGAGCGCCGTCGATCGGTTCGCGGTGAAGAAGGCGGTCGAGACGGTCGGCCAGCTGAGCCTGAAGAAGTGGTTCACGAAGGCTCAATGAGCCATCCAAGTCTGAGTCCTGTATCTCTAGTCGCGCTGTGTACTGGCTGTGTAGTTGCAATGTTATCGCTTTTCGGAAGACCGGGTGTGGTGGGCCCCGTTCATTGACCCCAACACAATCATGATCTTCGAAACACGCTGCGAGTGCGAGGAGAGGCGCAGGGCACGCGTCGGGGGCGGGCGATACACGCGTTTGCAGTGTGACGACCGCGTGTGGAACGTGACCTCCCGCGGCTTCCCACGGTGGGTGGGGCAGCTCTGCTCAAGAAGCGAGCACTCGCTCTGCACTCCGATACACATCTCCTGCCGCCCTCTGCCCTCTGCACTCTCTCTACATACACCTCTTGTCTCCCTTCACACACATACCGCCGTACCTGCGACGCTCTTCACCCGCCCTGCCCGTGTACGCGCCAGCACAGAACAATGAAGGTCTTCGGCTTCTTCTCGCGGAAGCCACAGCAGGCTGCAGAGACCGTCCCCCTCCCGCCCTCGCCCTCTGCATCCACCGCCAATCTATCGCCCTCCGCCAAGGCCCGCAAGAACGTCCAGCTCCGCACGCCCTCCCCCTCCGTCGACTCAGCCACCGCCGCCGCCGCCGCTCAGCCGCGCTCGACCTCCCCAGCGACCAAGCTCGCCCGCTTATCCGTCGACGACCCGACCCGCAACGCCTCGCCCACCCGGCGCGGCTCCATCACCGCGCTCACCGCGATCGTGCCCACCCCCGTCTTCGTGCCGCCCGAGCCGACCGTGCCCTCGCTCACCGCGCACATCGGGTCCATCCCGCCGAAGATCCTGCACGCGTACGTGCTCGCGCGCATCCCCGGGCAGTCGGAGGAGGCGCTGCCCGCGCTCGCGGCGTTCTTTGCGGAGCTCGCGCCGCCGCCGAAGATGCACTGCGTGCGCTGCCACAAGGACTTTGTGGAGGTCGAGAATGATGACAGGAGCTGTCTGGTGCCTCACGACGACGAGAGCGCGGAGGTCGAGCGCGTGGGCGCGGCGAAGCGGGCGGGACGCACCCCTGGGGCTGTCGGCGCGACGTTTGAGACTCTTTGGGGGTGCTGCGGTAAGATCGTGGAAGGCGACGGTGACCAGGGCCCGCCGGACGGGTGGTGCTACGAAGGAAAGCATACGGTGCGTGCTCTCTGTGTTCTCACATACATCATCGGCGTTAGTGAACGTCGCGCCCGCGTTACTAGACGGATGTGAAGCGTGCTCGCTTCCGCGCCGACTCGACCCCACAGCAAGACAAGCTGGTGTCGTGCCTGCGTAAGAATTGCCATGGCATCCGCTCTCAATTACCTCGCGGGGCGCGTACGACGCGGAAGCGGCCGCGCAGCACGAATTACAAGGAGGCTACCACTGATGAAGATGAGGACGCGAGCGAGGGCGGTTCAGACAGCGGCATGGACGAGATCACCGGAAAGACGCCCGCGAGCGCGCGCAAGGGGCGCGGACCAGGCAAAGGCAAGGCGAAAGCCACCGTTGAGGACGCGCAGCAGATGGACGTTGATGAGGAGCCCGCGGCCGAGAGTGCGAGCGTTGCGGGCAGCGCGAGCGGCACACCGCGCGGACGCGGCCGCCCGCCGAAATCGAAAGCGGGTCCGGCGAGCGTGGCGAAGCGCCGCGTGCGTCTGACAGAGTCGAAGGTCGTCCCGGGGACGGATGGGGAGGACGACGACGCGGCGTCGGTGAAGTCTGCGCCGACAGGCCCGACTCCGAAGCGGCGCGGGCGCCCTCCGAAGAGCAAGCCCGTCATCTCGGACTCGGACCGCGACATGGAGGTGGACGGGGCGCCGCAGAGCACGCCTGCACAGAAGGAGAGGGCGGCGCCGGGGAGCGGGAGCACGAGCGGGAAGCCGAAGACGCGCTCGTTGAGCCGGACACGTCCAGGCGATGCGAGCGACGTGGGCGCGAGCCCGAAGCCTAAGTCGCGTGTGCGGAAACCCAAGGACGGCGCGGCGGTGGAGGGCGAGGAGAAGCCCAAGAAGCGGAGGAAGGTCGATACGTGATGACCTGGTCCTGGCGCGGAGGGCCGCGCGGTTTGGTCGCAGTGGTTACCCGATTGTCAGTTGAGCCTCGTGCAGCCGGGGCAGCGGCGGGCGAGCAGTGTCGACGATGGTGAGCCTCTCCATTGACTGATTTATGAAACACGTCTGACCGACGATGATGACCTGCAGATACATCCCCGCCCCCGCTTCTTGCCCTCACGTACAATTATTTGTATCTGCCCCGGTGTCCTGCAGGGTCGGACGGCGGCGTATAAGTTATGGCAGACCGCTCGTGGACTCTTGGTCTAATCCTACCATACCTCACATTCATTCTTACTCGATATCCCAGCCTGTTTTTACTTACGACTCTCGAATCAGCATCACATTGCTCGTATCCCTTGCTCGTCAGAGCAAGGATCTCCACCCTCACAGGAGGGACTCAAAAGTGTGCGCTACGTCATTTCTCACCTAAGGTACTCTAACTTTCGACCCCGGCGAAGGCAAGATCGACGAGCAAGGAACCGCGCCAGCAGGCGCCCTTCGAGTTTTCTATGTTCGAGTACGACGCGCACATCGAGTTTTGCTTGAGTTGACGTTCTACGACTGGCGCAGCGACCCCAGCGGCGGTGCCGCTTACCGCAGCTACCCGCGTACTACCCGCGCGCCGTACGTTACTTTCCGACCGCGTGCCCGAAATTGCTTGCTTCTGTGGGCGTGTTTGCATTGTCCAGAGCCAATCGATGGCAGCACCCTTGATTTGATCCGTGCAGTGGACGAGTGCTGCAGCACGGGCCCGCTGCGAGACAAAGCCGCCTTGTCTCTGCGCCTCTGCGCCTCTTAAGCTTAACTTTCCCCGTCGTCCTTGGGTCTCTCCTGCACCTCTCCATCCTCCTTTCGCAGCTTCACAACAAGTAGCCAGCTCCTGTCCCTATATTGCTGTACTCCCGTGCGCGGATTGCTTGTGTGTATACGTACCAGGTAGCGCGACTGTCGCAGCCGAGACCCCCGTACGCGATATTTCTGACGCCACCGCTTCCGTGCCCTAGACGTAACCCGAAACTCAAACCCTCTATAAAATCAATGTCGACCGACGAGCCAGGCCCCAAACCAAGCCAGACGTTCACCGTCACCACCGCGCCCCCCGCCCCCGCCTCCGCCCCCATCGCGAGTGGCACAACTGCCGTGCCGTGGCCGCCCGCGGACGAGCACCTCTGGCTGACCTTCCCCCCATTCCCGCAGGCGCCCCCGGGCGTGACCCTCATCCCATTCAGCGCGTTCAAGCCCGCGGGCGTGCTCCAGGCGGCGGACGGCGAGCAGGAGCGCGACGCGCTGGGGATCCCGACCGTCGGCCTGCGCGTGCACCACGACCTGACCGCGATGGAGAAGCGCAAGCGCAAGAAGACGCGCACGGACGCGAGCGGCGCGGTGCGCCGCGTGCTCTGGTTTGAGGACTGGGCGGACGGCGAGGAGCTGCGGAGGAGCGCGGGCGTCGTCGACCCGTGCGTGTTCTTGACTTACGGGCTGTGGCGCGTCCCACTCACGTTTGTATAGGTCTCTGCCGCGCATTGACCGCCTGCACCAGGCGGCGTACGACTTCAAACATGGACGGCCTCTGGCCTCGAACCAAGAAATTAACCAGCTGTGGGACCGAGTATGTACCCGCAGTACCTCTGCGCCACCGCTGTCACTGACGCCTTTATATATAGTGGCGCCTGTACATCGGGCTCATCAGTGGAATGCAGCCCCCCGCGACGCGCAAGAAGAACTCTGCGATGCGCGACGCCTTCGCTGCTATGGCGGAAGCCCCAGGGGACGACGATGACGATGACGACGAAGAGATGCCGGCCACCCGCCCCCCGAAGGAAGCGAGCGTCCTCGTCTCCAACGACGAGGACGCCCCTCGCCCTCCTCTTCCGCCCAGCCAGCCAAGGCCTGGGGTGACGGAGGAGCAGAAGCAGCAGCGCCGCGAGTACTACCGCGAGGTGCGGGACCAGAAGATGGACCGCTTCCTAAACGACCCCGAGAAAGCAGTCAAGATCTTCCTCTCGGGCTACTACCGCGACCGCGGCCTCAGCTTGTACGTATCCCATCCCCACATCCCGATACTCCTGGTCGTGCACATACTGACTTGGGGCGCGCTCCGGCAGCTCGGAAAAGTCCTGCAGGGACGGCCCGATCCTACTCGCCTTCTTCCTTAACTTCCTCCTGCGCAACCGTGTGTTCCCCGAGGCGGACAAGAAGCTGCGCAAGGCGGTCGCCGCCGCCGAGCTCGCGCAGAAGGAGCTCCCGCACTCCTTTATCATCAGCCGCGGGATCCCCGACGCCTTCAGCCGCGGCTGCGAGCACCTCTTCGGCACCATGGTCGACCACAGCGGCTGGAAGACGGCCGCGGGCGAGGACGCTGACGCTGACGCAGAGAGTGGGGACGACGGCGCCCCGGGGGCGAAGCGCCAGAAGACGGACACGCCCGCTGAGGCTGCGGTCCTTCAGGAGGCCCTGGGCCCCGCCGATATTGAGGTAGTCACGGCCGACACGATGCGCGAGATGGAGGAGGCCGCAAAGGAAGCTGGGATCGACGCCCCCGCGTGGGGCGCGCCCGATGCTGCTGCCGCCGCCGATCCCGCAGCTGAGGGACAGACGTGGGGCGACGCGAACGCGGCTTGGGGCGCACCCGACGAGCCGCTGGTGTGGGACACGACCCCGAAGGCGAACTCGCTGCACGAGTATCTGGGTGCGACCGCGCTCCCGCTCACGCATACGACGGGCATCGTCGAACGCTCGACGCGCCGCGTCAAGGCTGTCATCCCGCCCCGCGCACAGCAAAAGAAGAGCGCGAAGAAGGGCGCGAACGGACAGGTTCCTGAAGGACCTACTCCTGAGGGGGTCGAGCGCGACCTCGAGGCGCGCCTTGCGCAGGTCGTGCTCGCGCCGTGGGAGGAGTGGGACGCGTATGACAAGGCGGACGTCACGAAGCCCGCCATCCTCGTGCAGTCGCGCGGACCCGTCGTCCGGGAGCTGGATGGAGAACCTGAGCCTGCTCCGACCGCGGAGGGCGCACCCCCGCCGCACAATCCGTTCAAGAAGGAGATCACGCTCCTCGCCGACCCGGCTGTGGCAGAGACGCTGTGGGTGGGTACGGGCGTGCAGGCGACGTGGGTGCAGCTCGCGCGTACGGACCCGAGCGTGCACGTCCAGGTGGGTGGGCTTGGAGAGCCCGTCGCGCCGACGAAGTTCTGGTATATGGAACAAGTGCTCGCGGTGCTGCCGACCTTCCACACGGAGATGGTCCCGCTGCCGACGACGCAGGATGTGTTTGGCGAAGAGGCTTGAGAGTTGCTGTGCCGGGATCGGTGAGATGCTCTTCTCGATTGAATGGTTGGAAGTCATCATCTATGCTCTGTAACTCAATGTACCATAGTGTTGCATATATTGCTCGAATCACAGTGACTCTTGGATCCTCAGATACCTAACGTGAAAGTAAATGTGAGTCTGAAATGCAAATTGAACGGGGCGCTGTCTGAGCGTACAGCGTCTTCGATGATGGTTGTTTAGGATAAATCTGCACGCCACAGGGAGAGCTCAACCACGCCAGATGATCGGAGAGCACGCCGATAAAACATACACCGCACAAGATATTTACAAACACTACGCGCCGATAGTAGGCTCAATCTCTCCAAGGAGCATCGTCGCGTCCTTGCTACCCGTCACAACTGCAATGCATGAGGATCGATTCGAAGAGTGAGGTCAAAACAAGGGACGTACCAATGGGCTCCTTGGGATGGAAGTCGACTGCAGTCACTGTGCCCTTGTGACCGGGCAGCTGCAGGAAGGCAGTTAGCATCTCTGTGCACAGTAGTGCGAAACGCGCGCGTACCTTGTACAGCACCTTCCCGCTCTCAACCTCCCATATACAAACGGTGCGGTCGGCACCGCCCACACCGACTCGCCGCCCGTCGTCGTCTTTGCTCCAGGCCCCGCGCAAAAGCGTGTGCTCGAAGCCGGCAGGCGCGCCCATCAAAACACGGTGTATCCGGTTCGGCGAAGGCGAGAATGGCCGCACATCGTGGATGATTGTCTGCGAGGAAAAGGACGGGGAGAGGAGGAAGTTGCCGTTTGGCGAGAGGGAGAGGGATGTGGGGGTGTCGGTGTGGCCCATGAGCGTGTATACTTCCTCGTTCTTGCGGAAGTCGAGCACCTAAATTCCGGGTCAAATTTGGCTTTCGGAAGACGAGAAATCAGGACGTACGTGAATCTCATTGTCCAGTGCACCAGCATATATACTCGAGCCATCCGCGCTCCAGCATACGGACGTAACTGGACAGCCCAACTCAAATACGCTCACAGGTGTTTTCGGTCCCTCGTCGCCTCCCTCCCAGACTCGCACGGTACCGTCATCAGCGCCGGTCACGACAAGCTCGACGCCAGCCCCTCCTGCGAGAGTCCTATCGAGGGAATTAATAATTCCGCGGTGCGCGTGGAGTTTACGCACACGCTGGCCAGTCGTGAGGTCCGTAACGCTGAGCGTGTGGTCGGCGGAGACCGTATATAGAACCTGGGAGGCGAGCGACCATTGGAGGTCAAGAATGGGGGCTTTGTGGAGGTTGGCGATCAGGCCGTAGTTCGTGTTCGGAGAGTAGGTGCGCCATAGTGCTATTGAGCAAGACGCATCAGCCTGGGAGCTTTCTGAAGGGTAGCTGGGCAACTCACAGACGCTTCTGTCTGCTGAACATGCAGCGATATTTTGGCCAGTAGGATCGAACCTACAGCTCATGATTTCTGCCTGTAAGGAAGCCGTGAGCGTGTGCATACCGTGGTCATATTATGAACATACACCATGCGAGCCTGAGAGGCTAATAATGGGAGCCTCTAAACTGCTGGTGCGCTTGATAGTGCGTATGAGGCCTTGCTCCCTCTCGTTGTTTCCGGAAGAGATGGCAATTTGGGTATTGGGAGCGGGAGACCCAGAGCGAGCGCGCTTTATGAGTGCGCCACCGGGCGGGGGAGACGCGCCGCGTTTTGACATGTTGAAGAACGAGCAGAAGGGCAGCGACGATGAGCGCGGGTACGAGGAGAGTGAGCAAACAAGCAAACGCGACTCGCGAGCAGACGCGCGCGCTGGAACGCGTAGGCGCCGAGCAGCCACAGCGGAGTGCGAAGGTACGAACTCCGCGCTAAATGATGCCGAGGGGCGCTTGCCTGACAAAATCTGAGATGCGAATGATCGGTGACGATACTTGTCCTGTGCTACGGACAGCTGTGAGATGCCCTCCACACGACGACCAACCTGCTCACAAGAACTGCTGTATGTTCACAGCTTGGCCAGGTCTCTTGCGCGAGGGTATATCTCTGCCGTTGATTTCCGTCTAAAGGCCTATGTCCTCGGGGATTTCTTGGGTGCGTCTTCTGCTTCCGGGCGACAGCTTCTCGGGGCCCTGCTTCCGCGCTCCTATCCCATGGCTCTCCGTCAAAGTTAGCAACCTAAACGGACAGCGTACGTCTTACTGCACCCACGCCGACCACGGTGCCCTGTGCTCCGTCTTTCGCTCTCTTTCCCCCTCATCTCCATGTCGCGAGCTCCCTCGGACAACAGGACTACTTCAGCCCGCACCTCCGTGCTCTCTCGCTATGCCGCGAAGCTCAGCAGGCAACGTCTCGCTCACGTCTCGCTCGCCAATATCCTTGCTGGTCACACTTGCTCTCCCATAGGCCTGGCTGATTTTGAGGCGTACCTCGCCTTCAAGGAGCACTCACTGGAGAACCTGCACTTCGCTGTCTGGTACCAAAGCTACCGAAAACGCTATCTCGCCCTTTCCTCTGCCCCTCAGTCTCGTCCCCACTACCACTGCAAGAGCGACTCCTTCCAATTTCCGCTCCCAACCCCAGCACGGACAACACAACGTTTATCGGAGTGCAGGCGACAGTCTGACACAGCAGCGTCCTGCTCCAACCCCTCCCCCACCGACTCCGTTTTCCCCGACGACTTTGCGTCTCCTGTACGCCGTGGCTTTCCCGGACCCCCGCTTTCCTTAACCTCACCCGCGCCCTCCGGCCTTCCCGCCTTTCCTTACACGTCTCCCTCCGACCCTTCGCACGATGCTTCGCCTATGAGATCATTGCGGCTCGAATGCGCGCATGCGACGGCGACATTCCTCACCCCCAGTTCCCCAGAAGAGCTTATGCTCGATGCCGAGGTGCGAGAAGCCGTTATACGCGAGTTGACATGGAGCATCCACCCCGACGTCTTCGTCTCCGTGTACGAGAGCGTCGTCGAGGCACTCGAATCGTTCAGCCTCCCACGCTTTCTGGAGCACGCCTCGACGAACATCAATTCCCCCAAGCAGATCTTCTGGTACTCCGTCGGCATCGTCGACATGCTTCTCGCAACAACACTAGCCGTTCTGTTCATCGTGCTCCTGCCGAGCGGGATGACCGAGGCGTCGCGGCGGGCTTGGCGCCTCATTACCGTACCACTCTTCTCTCTGGGCAGCATGCAGGCGTATTCCGCGTGGAGAGGGTAAGCACCGTGCGCCTAACTCCCACCGCTCAGGCTAAGCGTCATATATTCCAGGTTCTGCAGTGAAGTATGGGGTCGAGGCAACACGCAGTTACGTACCTGGGAACTCGAAGCGAGTGGACACGAGACCACGGCATCCTCACCGTGGTCGTCGCTCGCCTCCACGAGCGCCCCCGCTTCCCCCGTCCGGGAGAACAAGATCGTCCTCTCAAGCGTATACGAAGTCGAGCGCGAGGGACGTTCCTACCAGGACTCTCCTTCCACCTCAGCCCCGACATCACCGCAGTCGCAAACGTTCACGCCCGATGCACATGACGACATAACGGCGATCCCGGACCTCGATGATACCCACTCTTTGCACGGGAGGCTCGGACGCAAGATACACCACCTCGGGAAAGACGCAGACGACGAGCCGCTATCTGGCCATCCCTACGTCACGTCTGTGGACGTGAGACTCTCGCAGGCCGGGTCTGGCGAGTCCGACGCAGAACCAGCGCTGCCCTTGGATCCCTGGGGCTGGGAAGGCTCCTCACGCGGCGGGACTGGGGACGTGCGGAAAGGCTGGGAGCGCGATGCGAAGGGGAGCCGACGGGCGAGTGCGAGGGAGGAGTTTAGGCGGCCGCCTGTGTTTGGGCCCGAGCGACCCGTGCTGGACCCGCACATCCGTGCGGTGCACAAGGCGGTCATGCGGGATATGTTGGTTGCGGGTTTCGTGTGCACGGTGGTACGTGTTCTTGGATGACCGTCTTGTGTAGGGGGATTGCTGATGTGTGTTGCTGGGCAGGTGTTCACTGTGATCATACTCGCGGTACCGAGCGTTCAGGGCTCTTGACAGAAATCTGTTGGTCGGAAGGACTTGTATTCATGGTCGGACTTGTTGTAACACGGGACACTGTAGCATAGATGTGCCAACATCATAATCATTGCTGCTCCATGATTCGCTCGGATCGTCTGAAAAATTAAGTTTTCTACTCAAGCACTGAGGTGCAAACGAAGTCGGTAGGCAGTTACTATTAGGCATAGCGGTCCAAACACCATGAACAGCGCAAAAAGAATATCGACATGACGAACCCGAGGTTCATGTATGCTGAAAAATTCGCATTGTGACATTGAGGTGAGGGCAGTACACGGAATCCCCTAGTAAAAGGCGAGGGGATTGTTTCGTTGTACCACCCTCTGTCACTGGTAGCTTGGGCTGATGGGAACGTTCGGTAATCAAAGTTGTGCCTTTAGCTCAGCTTGCAGGTTGTACGCGCCGGGAAACACCGCAGTTATTTTGCTCCTCTTCTCACCAGGGAAGCGACAAGATGTCGGAAGGATCGCTTGCGACAACTGGGATTGGTGCATCCCACTGTGCAGTAATTTTGAACCAGCGTGCTCGAATCTTTACACGCGTAAAGCAGTGAACGAACCTTTAGCCTCATTGATGCAACTAGCTTCTAAGTAGTCTTGTGAGCTATAGAGGTGTTTGTTTACCGTAATAAATGAGGTTATCCATGGCATCACTGAGGTCAGGGCCACAGGCTGTCGATGCATCATGGAGACTCTGGGACCCGTCGATCGAGTATGTTTCCGCGAGCACTTGTGCAGCGCGTCTTGGTTAAGGTTAGCAATATAGGAACGCGCCAGGATCATGTGATCGCGACAATTTGGGCGAATCGATTTTGTCGAGTCAAGCCCTTTTCTCCACTTCTCCTCATCGTACCTCTCCTCTTGCAGCTTCTCGTCCTCATCCTGACTGTGCGTCGGTAAAAATTCCCCTCTATACTCCATGGCTTCCGAAGGCAAAGGGGTTCTGGTCAAGGCGGACCCCATCGCAAACACTTTCCGGGAAGAGATCATGTCTGCACTGGCCGCAGCCCCGCGCCCACCCAAGCTCGTCGGCATCCTCGCCACCGCAGCGGCCCCAAGCAGGTTCTACGCCGAGTTCACGAAGAAGCAGTGCGATGCGCTTGGCGTCGAGTTCGTCCTGCGCACGGTGGGCACGGCGGCAGACGAGACGTTAGCCCCTGGGGAGGGCGTCGAGGAGGCGATCATCGAGGCGAATGAGGACGACGGCGTAGACGGCATCATGGTATGTTCGCTACGCGTGGAACTGGTTGGGGCTGTATGGTGTATTTACGTTTGTGTATGTTCGTGTATGCTAGGTCTACTATCCCATTTTCGGCGTGCAACAAGTACGTCTGTGTGCCTCGGCTGTATGAGCATGCAACTAAAAGCGAGAACGTGTCTGGGTGTAGGATCACTACTTGCAGCAGGTCTAGCCGCCTCGCTATCGTCAAGGGTCTCAGTTCTCTGACAGGATTGCCATGTGCAGATCGTCTCTCCGTACAAGGATGTCGAGGGACTGAACTTCAAATTTCATTACAATCTCTACCACAAGTACGCCATAGCTTCCTCAAATACCGGTCATCCCAGAAGAATACTCACCGATTCCTTACGCGCCCCCAGCATCCGCTTCCTAGACCCGAAGACGCTCACTTCTTCTCTGCCTGCCTCCGATGCACCGCCCGCGGTAAACGACGAGCCCCCAGCAGGCCTCGTCAAATCCATCCTGCCGTGCACTCCCCTTGCGGTCGTCAAAAGTCTGGAACACATCAGGGTGTACAACACTCTCTTGCCGTACGGCGACCGCGCATACGGGAAGACTATCACTGTCATCAACAGGTACACACTCACTCTTGTTTCCTATGCGCATTTGAGCTGAACATACGCGCAGGTCAGAGGTCGTTGGCCGCCCGCTTGCCGCGCTTCTTGCCAATGACGGCGCGCGCGTATTCTCCGTGGACATCGACTCCATCCAGGTGCGCGTCCCCGCCGCAACTCCGTAGCATTCGCTGACCACCCGCATACACCCCGCAGGAATACACAAAGCGCCCCCGCCAGAGCGCCGAGCAGCGCAAATACCACCCGCGGCACGTCGTGCACCCTTGCACGCTCTCCCTCGAAGAGTGCCTCGCGCTCTCCGACGTCGTCGTCTCCGCCGTGCCGAGCGCGGCGTACAAGGTCAAGACGGCCGCGCTCAAGGACGGCTGTGTCTGCCTCAACGTCGCTGCGGACAAGAACTTCGAGACGGACGTCCGCGAGAAGGTGCGATCTTGCATTCGTTTCTGCTGTGAGCGGGCGCGGGCTGACGGTGTTTGGCGGCGCGGCAGGCTTCCCTGTATTTGCCTACGATCGGCAAGGTGACGATCATGATGCTGCTGAGGAACCTGTGAGCGTGTTTGCTGTCTGCGTATGCACCGGCTTGCACTGACGCGTCGTCCGACACTCAGGCTGCGCCTGCAGCAGTATCGTCAGATCGTGAACGAGCCCTCGTCGTAAAAGAAGTCACCGCTTTGGATGGGGTGATAGTAGAAGATCAAAACGGCACAGCGATAGAAGCCATGTTGGACCGGATGTTTTGTAGCGAACCACCCGCCCGCCACGGCCAGCTGTAATCCAATGGATTACCTTGTGGCAATGTGCAGACCATAGATGATGAACTGAAGGATACGTGCAGAGCTTTGCCTGCGATCACGATCCGGACATAACGGCGGCAACAACCCAAACATTGAAGAGTGCGGAAAGTGCATCCGGGACATCACGCCTGAGTACGCCCCCGCGCTCGCTCGTATTCGTGTCGTATGCCTATTTGCCATCGGGAGTAGGCCGCAGCCAAACAATCTTGAATCCCGAGATGGCTGACGGGAACAACGGAAAGCAATGGAAGGGCCATGTGACGGCCAAGGGCTACTTTCTAAGCACCTCCTGCAGCGCTCGGTCCGATGCTAAATGGGGCTCGCTAGGGCGCTGTACTGCGGCGCCGGGGGACGCGCTGTTCCGCCGCAGGAGTCCGGAGTCACCACCACTGAGAGATGCGCATGAGAAGCTTGCGGGGGCGTAGGTGGCTCACCAGTGGCGATATGTATATCACTATATGCAACCAGCTTAGAGGAGTTCGCAAGCGGCGACACTGCGAAGGTCGGCGACATGGGTGTGCGCTAGCGCTCGCTATAAGCGTGTAATCCAATAGTGCGCAGTCGTCCAGTACAAAGCCGACGAATCCGGTTCAGGTGCCTCAGAGTCATACACTACGTCGTAATGACGAGCCTATCGGAGCCAGTCTCAGCGGTGCGACATACATGCTGACCGGAGACGGTGCTTACCTGTTATTTCGCACCTTCCTGTCGGTCGATGTAAAGTATTTGTGGTGGGATATATTACTACTACTACTATCTCGCGCTCAGCCGTTCCGCGGCCCCTTGGAAGCTATGTGAGAGATGAGATGTACTATTACTGTTGTCGCTGCTACGAGGCCCCGTCTATTAGTCCGCATAGATATCGAAGGAGGAAAGAGGGAGGAAGAGCGGGGTCAGAGACGCGATTCCACCTCGCTGACTGTGATGGGCGGTATCGCGACGCCGCCACGCGAGGGGGTCGCGTATCCAGAACGGGGGAAATTGGGCGTCGTCGGGGTGCCGACGCCGGACGGCTCCTCGTCCACCATGAAGCGCACGCGGTAGCGGTGGAACTGGACATATCATGGAAGGTGAGCCCACGATCGCGGAGGGAACGAGGCCGCGGCGCTGGGGTGAAACGCGGGCAAGACTTACTGCTGGGAGTTTGGGGATGAGGACAAGAACCAGCGCAGTGAGGTTGACTGCGAACAGCCATGGGTCGTAATTCGTGAAGTGTGTTGATGCAAGGAACCTAGCGCGGCGCAGCAACGCCATGACAAAAAGACGGACAGGTGTCAGTTAATATTTGACGGAGGGCGCCCCATGGTTTGGTGGCGCAATTTTGGATGGTGGGCACACGCACAGAGTTATGGGCATAATGAGCAGCCATTTCTTCGCGGGGGTGTACTGCGCGCCTTCGTCGATTTGTTCCCACATCGTAAGGTTGTCGTATACGCCCCCGTGGAGGTCCGAGTGGAAGGGGATTCCCGTGACATAATGGAACATCAGATAGGATAGCTGGAAGAAAGTGGCGCGTGAGCATAAGATTGTGCGCGGCCGCATAGCCGACGAGTCAATAGGTCACGTACGCCGAGGTAAAGCAAGTTCACGAGTGTCCAGCTAATCTCTTGCCGCATCCCGGGGATGGTGTCGATGACCACCTTCCCCGTCAAGATGAGAACAAGATGAATCAGCCATGCACCTGTGTGGCGTACATCCGGTCAGCTATCGTTCAATTGCCAGCATGCAATACATGTAGAGGCGCATAGGTTGTACACCGAGGGGGGCTGCGGGGGATAATGCGAGGGGGGACAGAGGTGAAACATACCTTTACGGTTCACCCACTCCGCGTTCAAGTTGTCATACACGCCTTGGTCCAGAGCTTCCTCCTGGGACTCCTCACCAACCTTCTCGATCTTGACAATGCTGCTGCTACGGTCACGGCCAGTGCGGACTGAAAGGCCGGGACTGGCGGACTTCGGGCTGAGTGTAGACGACGACGTCCTGGTAGCGGCCATGCTGTTGATTCACGCGTTCACGACACAGTAAGTACGCCGCGAAGAGGAAGATGCGGATGAAGAAAAGCTGCGAGGGGAAACGGCGGACGAGGAAAAAAAGAGGGAGATGGCGCGATGGGAGGAGGGACGGTGTGTCGTCGTGGCCTTTCTCTTGAAGAGTGCCGGAACTCATAGGCGCCCATAACGTGTGCGCCAAGCAGGGGAAGCGCTTGTTTCCTTTTCCGTACCAAAGTGACATGCATGTGCTTCCCATGCGAGGCGCCGACGCAGGCGCGTTCACGCTCTCTCCTCCGTCCTACCAACTACCCCCGCTCTCTGTCCGCCGCTCTTGCTTTCCTTCGTCGACGTTGCTCTGTTACTGGCTTTGTCTTTGAGTTCTGAGTTCGGATAATGCTTTTGCAATGGTGTACTCTTGAACCCTCTGAGAAGGGTGGCTTGGCTGCGATCCGCTTCTCGTCCCCAGTCCGCGTACAATCCATTCGCATCTTCCCTTTGGGCGCGAAACCCTTCGCACAATGTCCGGATACTGTCAGGTGAGTCACTTCATCCAAATTTCCTGTACCTGTGGCTGATATGGACCTACTAGCCGGACGGAACCTGAAGCCTTCTTCCTGGATGTGTACTTCAACGCACAACCCATTACCACCCCAGATGCGAAGGAGAGGCCTAAACATTCAAACGCGCTTGTTCCGACCTCTATTGCTTATGCGGGTGGCCAGAGAGACTTTGCCGTGGATATGGGCTCTGAAGTCGGTACGATGGGTTAAATCTGCGGGCATATACTCACGCGTCTCTTTAGCATGCAACACGTCTCATGATAGTCAAGGGCGAGTTTGAGGCTGTTTCGCTGGCAATATACGGAGAAGTTGTGACGGAGGCTTTGGCGACCCCCTCTACATACGCGCCACGACCTCTCCCTTCGATCACTCCAGCCGGGCTACCCCCGGCTCTTGACCCTGCGAACACTCGCGACCCGACGCAGCTGGCTCGCCAGCTTTTGAAGCTGATACCTAACGCCCCTGACTTGGAGCTTGTTATACGTCTCATCTTCTGCCTGAAGCCTTCTAACGAGGACTGGGACTTGCCGGACTTTCCGTATCTACACCCCGACTTGGATGACTTAGATGCGGATGCTGAATTGGAGAAAGTCGTTAAACTAACGACGCGTCCTGTCCCGGACGACATATCTTCTGAGCACGTGGCCCGCTTTACCGAGAAGGTCGCACAGTGCGTCAATCCAAAGGTAAATCTTGATGTGCATGGTGTTGACTTAGGCTCATTATCGGCTCTCGCAGGACAAGGATCTCAACCAGGCGTATCACGTAGCCAGCATTCTCTATAACGCTGCCTCCCAACATCCTAGCTTGGCGCAGAAGCTCCTGGTCCGTTTGTATCTCCCTTATAACCCGTCTTGACTGAACACAATAACAGGACGCGATTGAACTTGAGAAAGTCTTTGACTCGTCAACCATCGACGACGAGACTACCATGCTTAGGTTGTTGCACGCAGCTTCAAACGTGGACATCGCGAGAAAACTGGGCGCTTCATGGTTTCGCGATCTACTCACTCCGTTCACAAGCGAACTCAACGCGGACCGAGATATGCGTACCAACGCCAAGCGGCTTCTTGCAAGGACACAGGGTTGGACCGTACTTGAAGACGCATTCTCCAACACACAAGGCGATTACATCGCCGCAGCTGACATGCTCAAGGACATCGCGGTGGAAGAGCAGTCGTTCGGTATATGGCTCGAGTCAGCAATCGCACATGGGAATGTTGCATCAAGCCTCGCGGAGAACCCTGTGTTATCTGTAGCCCTACCGCGACTGTTCTCGCACCGGCCAACAGACGCATCTCCCTCCCAAGACGAGTTCGTGGCGTTTGTGAGGGCATATATTGGCGTGGCCTGTGTTCTCGCGGTATATGCATGGTCGGACAGCCTACCCGATGAACGTTGCCGGGCACGGGTACTAGGCATACTGCGTTTGTGGCAGGGAGTAGATGGGTACCGAGAGGTAGGATCGGCCATCATGTCCACCAATAATCTGCTAACAGCCGGACACTCAGATCGTCAATCACTTGCTCCTGCTGCGGCAGATGACATTCCGTTTGGAGTGCATGACCGACCTCGACCTCCCCACTCAATCCGGCATCGACGCGGAACACATCCTCGTAGACCTGGCCAAGACTCCTGCAGCTATCCTCCGACCCAACTTCCTCAAATGCATCCTCAACATCGGGACTGCCACGTTGTTCATCACAGACGAAGAACGGTCCTCCATGCGTCAGGCTGCCTTCGTTGTGGATGACGGGTTCGGAGGTGCGGTGGATGAGTTAATGGGTCCAGTCGACCGTCCGCCAACGTTCGGTAGCCTGCGGACAATCCGAGTGGCGTTGGCCATGATGAACCGAGAGCTGGACGAGGACGACGAGGCACACGTACTCGACGATTTCTGGGAAGAAGCAAAGTGCAGCCTCACGACCTGTCTGAGCGACCTGCTCGCTCCTGTCGTCGAGGAGATCAGGAACCAATTCTCCCTGAGCCAGCGGCCACCTCCCCACATGGGCCAAGACGTCGTCGCACAGCTGTTCTGGGCAGCCGACGACATCCTGCGAACATTCCTCCGACTGGTATCCACCCATCCCCTCCCCTCTCGCATGCTCCGTGCGCTGGCAACCAACGTAGCGGACGTCTTCGCGTGCACGGACGCGGCCGACATGCGTTACTCACAGTCCGGCCAACCATCGCTCGCTGCTCAAGAGACGAGACAGTCCTGTATTGATCTCATCCGTGCCCTCGGTAGCCAGCCCCCCGTCGCTTCAGGAGCAAAACCCGGTGCCCAGATCGTTCTCCGCGACCTGCTAGAACACGGTCTTCACAGCAACGGCCTCGACCCGACACACCACCTCCTGCAAGTCTTCTGCCTCATCGACTTCCTTCTGCCCTCCGAAGACTGCGCAGACGGTCAGCGCTCACTCTGGGTGCAGACCGTCTTCCCCACCGTCCTCAAGGAGCTGTGGACGTTCTGCCACGCGCTCGACACGGAGAACAAGGTGCACTTCATCCGCCGACTGTCCGCGCTCGACCAGGAGGTGATTGGGGTCGGGGAGTGGCTGCTCCTCGAGGAAGTCAAGGACGTCTCGCGTGCGGTCCAGACACTCCAGGACGGCGACCTGTCTGACCCGAAGCGGCGCATCGTCCAGAACCAGATCTCGCTCTTCTTCCGGTTCTTCTCAGACCTCCTCCAGAGCTCGTCGGGACGGTGGTGTGTCGATAGCCTCGCCGCCACGGAAGAGGCGCCACACCTGCTCGCCTCGGCGCTCTATACGATGTTCGACCTCCACTTGGTACCCCCATATCTTGGCGAGGTTCTGGACACCCTGGCAGCGGGGTACGATGTCTTCGACAACGAACTGCGCTGGGCGATGGTCATCGGGTTGTGGCGATCACTGCAAACCCCCGACGTATCCTCCAGCCGACTCGAGGGGCGTATAGGCAGCTCCGTGAAGGTGGTCGCGACCATCACACCATCCTACCTGGAGCCGTTAAAACTCACCGCCGAGGTCGGATGGCTCGTACAACGCCTGTCACAATACTCCGACACCGTGGACGAGAACGTCGCCCAGTCCGTGGTTTCGCTCTTCGAATGGCTCTCTCAATCCGCAGTGTCTATTCCGAAGATGGCCGACCTCCATACCATCGCATCCGACCAGTTTGGAACGTTCCGGGACCGCCTCAAGGACGCGCTTTCCGGCGAATGGAAGGAACGCCTCGACGCCGCCTGCTGTCAACTCGTACCTGGAGCGGCCAACGTCGCCCCGCAAGACCCGACCGGCCTCCCCGAAAGTGCCGACCTCTCGATCCACGACATCGAAGAGCTCCTCCGGCAAACCATTCCCGTGCCCTCAACGCCCCCGCGGCGGCCGCTAAACCAAGACGTGCTCGGGCTCGTGACGGTCTCGCCCGCCGCGCTCCTGCGCTCGCCCGCCGTGACGGGCCTGACGAAGACGTACCTGAACAACGACTTCCGGCAGCTGCGCCAGTCGTCCGCGCGCGCGAACACAAGCAGACTCCCGAGTATGCATGTGGACGTAGGTGTCGCGCTGGCCGCCTGACCACGTGCGCGCGCACATACTGATTACTTCTCTTTTTTTTTCCCCCGCGTGCGCTGCACAGGAGTTCGAGAGCGCGAGCTCGCCTACATTAGACCCCCTTGTCGTCCCTGTACCCACGCAGGCAGCAATGCAATTCGCGCCCGAGCCCTTTTCACAGCTCGGGCCCGCTTTCAGCCCACTATGAAGACGGACGGTGCGGAGCATGATCTACAATTATGGCGGCGGCAACGTACGCGCGGTGAAGGTACAATACACGAGAGGCAACGTCCGATCCGGCCTGGGGAAAGACATACTATAGACTACCGTCGGTGCTCAAGACACGTGTGGCACTCGTCGGCGGACGTGCGACGGATGGAGGCTTGGATACCTCGGGATGAGGTCGTCGCGCGCGCGGAAGTACGTGTCCATCTCTGACGCGTCGAATTCGGACAGCTGCCGTGCGGGCGACGACGGCGCGCTCTCCTCGAACGGCGGGGAGCGCTCAGGTGGCTTCGCAGGCTTCTTGCCAAGTCGGTGGATGCGCTTGCGACGCGCGCGAACGGGCTGACGGTCAGCGCTGGACGCAGGTCCCGAGGAATTTGTCTCGCGCGGCGGAACACTACGGACAGTGAAGTGCTCGAGCGTGCGCGTGTATGGCGAGAGGGTATGGTTGGAGTGGCTGAGCGTTGACAGCTGTGAGATGGAGTTGTTGATTGACGGGCGGAGGACGATCTTTGGGTCGTGGTCCTGCATGTGCTGGTCGTACGAGCTCGAGGAGAACGCGTCGTCGAGGTTGGACGACGCCGTAGAGAGACGCCGCGGGCGCGTGATGCGCACGTTCGGGTCTTCCTCTGGTGGCGGTGGGGTGGGGACGGAGTGGGTCATGTCGCTGGATCGTGAGGGTTGCGTATGTATGCTTGATGTACTAGTTGGGCGGTGTATAGGAGAGTGGGCGAGCGAGGGTACTGGTGGGATAGACAAGGGCGAGCGACGGAGAGGGCTAGATGAGCTCTCCGCATAAGATGGATACGAATATCGCGGCGTAGGCACGGACTCATAGTACGGTGTCAAACCCGCGAAGTAGGGATTGTAGAGAGAACTGGCTCGTGAGGGGGGGCGTGTGGACTGCATAGATCCTGCGCGAGAGGGAAGAGGTCTGCGCGACGCGGAAGGTGTTGGGTGGGCTTCTCCATCGGGCGATGCGACGTGGATCTGCGACTGGGTATGATAGACTCGTGGGCGTGTGATCGTACCCCCACCCACAGCGGGCACGGTCTCGTATTCGCCGATATCTCCCGCCTCTGATATGGAAGGCCCGAGGTTCGTCTCGGACATAAAGTCTTCCCATGTGCTTGGATCGAAAGAACCCGTCTCATCGAGCATGTCGTCGATCTCACTCGACTCTTCGGCCAAATCCGCGAGACCCTTGTTCTGCGCGAAAAGGTTCCGGAAGCCGCCGAAAGTGCTCTTCGCAGGTAGACCTTCCGGGCGCAGGCCATAGGTCGGATCGTAATTCTCTATGTCCGGAAACGAGGTAGGGCCGTCGTGGTGATGGTGATGATGCTCGTGCTGGCTGGTGGCCTGAGGAGGTATTCGCGAGGATGGAGACGAGGCCACAGACATAGCCGCACGCATGCCCATGCTCGACGCTGATTGTATAGAGGACGATCGGGGGCGCATGAACGGCGCGGCAGAGGAAGCGCGGCGGATAAGGCTCGGCGCAACCCCGACCGGAGGCATTCGTGGGATGCGGTAGGCAGGCTCGCCGGGGGACGACGCCACGCTACGGGTGCGCGACGGGACCGCGACGGGAGCGGCGGGCTTCTGCAGATAGGGTGCCTCAACCTTGGCCTTGACCCACTGCTGGCTGAGGCGGTGGATGATGCCAGGCAAGTCCTCGCGAAACATCTGACGGAGCTGACCCTCAATCTCCCGCTGGATGAATTTCTGAATGACGGCAATGGAGTCGAATGTGCTGTTGATGTCCACGTTCTGAAGCGGGTCCGTCTTGAACACGAGCGTGATGCCCTTTTGGCGCGACACGACGAGTACGACATACGCGTTTAGCTTGAAGTGCGAGAGCCGGAGGAGCATGGGAACAACCAGCGGCTGCTTCGCCGCTAGCATGCCGCGCGAGCCGCCCATAAGGTGTATGTCGGGCTGCTTGTGGTTCAACGGGTTCGCCTGTGCGCGCTTGAGCATTAGCACACGCGCGACCAGTCGTCCATAAGTAGGCACGCACCTGGACCTTCGTCCTTAAGACGATGTGCGCGTCGCCAGTGTATGTGAGGCGGAATATCCCGCGGAACTGGTCCACGGTGAGCTCACCGATATCCCGTATCTCGAGCTCTGGGGGCTGCTCGGGCAGAGTCGCTCAAAACTCAGTGTGGGTGAAGAGATTTATGAGAGTGTACGCACTTGGGTGCCCATCTCCAGCTCGACGACCTCTATCCTATCCGCTATGACGGGTGGTTTGTTGCCCTTGTTGAGGGCAGACTCGAGCATCTGGATGGCGTCCGCGTGGAACTGGTCGGAGAAGCGAGGCCATTTGAATGTGAATGACATCGCAACGGCCGGGTGTGTTCAGTCTTGGGCATAAGGTGAGACGCGCAGCGTTTTTTCAGTACACAAGCAGATTGAAGTATAGGTTTGACGTGAGAGATGAGGAGGTCTGTTCCAGCAAATTATTTTAGATGGTAGCGGGAGTTAGAGGAGCGGAGAGGGATGAGACCGGAGGGAGGTGGCGGACATGGTGGAGGCGAGGCGGAGGAGAGCTCGATCGAGCCCAGGCTTGCGAAACTGCACGGCGCACAGAAATGACAAAATGGCTCCGGCACGGTCCGGCCTTTCCGCTCGCTGCCACTTCGGGATCTGCAGTGCTCCTGCCGGGCCAACAGCTCCCCCATGCATGCCGCGTATATCTTGAGTCGAGAAGAGGACCGCTCGACCCAGCGGTCACGAAACGCAGCGTTCGTGCCAGGCGATACGAACAGCGGAACAACTTCTCTACTGATTTGTTTGGCGCTCACCTTCAACTCTACCGCGACGCGCGCTTGTTTCATGGCGATGGCATTGGAGAGCATAGGAGGGGGTACGCATGAGTCGGTGCAGAGAGCACAAACGACAGATGGGGGAAAGGAAGAGAGGCGATCGAAGAAAACATAGGAGACGGGCGACTTATGTAGGACTCGGAAAGGAACATTCGGACGGTGCGGAAGTTGAAAGACTGACAGCTAATGTCCTAGAGGTCCCGCTGGATTCGGGCACTACTCGCCTCTGAATGTGGCGTTGGAGGTGGTGGGCATGATACGGAAGAGCCTTTTGGAAACAGAAGTGCCTCCATGTCCTGAGCGGGCGTTGAATTTATGGGAGCGTCCGCCGGCGTCGGGCGCTTTTCCCGATGGCCTCACATGCATATGTTTTCCACTAATGCAGCAAACCCGCCAACTAGTACCAAGTATGGAGGAGGCAAGCCGCGCATTAACGCAGACTCTTCATCACATTCATGGACTAACAGGGGAAGTTCGCCGTATTTTATCGACTCGATGGTTAGAAGATACGAGAATCTGATGCCTCAGATAATATGCTTCAGTCCCAGCGGGTCCGGGGCTGCCTGACACCGCAACAAGCAGTGTGAAGGTGAGTATACCTCTGACATCTTTATCCCGAAAATTTGGAGCCGTTTACACCACGCTAGCCGCTTTGGCTCACTACGGACGCCGAACTTCGCCTTGACTCAGGAAGAGCTAGGTGCCAGCCCTCTAAGTGATAAGATGACGAATCATACAATCAAAACACACCGCTCAAGGCAAAACGCTGAGAAAGCACGCCGCTCAATCGAACAACATACCGATCGCGAGACAGCACACCGCTCAAGAGGTGCTAACGCCGCACCCTGTAGACACGCGTCCTTTGGTGTGTCACTTCGTATGTACAGCGAGACAGGTTCAGCGCCTCCTATGTCTTCATGGAACGAATAAAAAGGAGTGAGAATTGAGCTGAAGGTCAGAATAACACCCTCCAGCACCCACGCTCCTCACAACCTACTCACACAATGTCTCTCCCCATCCGCAAGATTGGCGACGCTGATGTCACCGCGCTCGGCTTCGGTGCCATGGGTATTGCTGTTGTAGATACGGTCTTACGAAATGAGAATGAGCTGAGATAGAATCCTTCGTCGACGAGTCCTCGAGTCGAATGGGCGATAGGGCCGCTGAAGAGGTAGCGTGTATAGTAGCGCGTAGCTTACTATGCTTACTTCAACCTGTAAACAGAGCTAATCTTGTCCACTTAGAACGGCGTTAGATCACACTTAGACGCTGAGAGCGCGGGTACGTTGGATGGTAAAAAGGCTGAATTACGAGGCTCCCAGAGCCTGTCCTTATATACATCTCGAGATACAAGCACTAGAGGCTTCTACACAAGTTGAGAGATCAGACAGAAAGGTCACAGAAAGGTCGAACAAGAAGGAGAAAGGACGAGAGGGATGAAGGAATCAAATAGAACGTACTCGAAACAAGTCGAAGTGACCGTACATATCGAGACTAAGCTAACCTAGTGTCTATCGTAACGTAATCCACAACATACGCCCCCAGTCTCGATACGTACCTGCTCCAATCAG